TGATAAACCATGTGTTCTCTAATAAAAAGGAAATTAGGAATCATTGGTCCATGCCCAATTGGTTCATTTTGTCGCAAAGAGGGTAGCAATGGCGTCCCTGGCAACAATAACCAGATCTTTTTTTCTTTTAATTTTTTTTAAATTGTGAAATGGAGAAAAAATAGTGAGAAAGAAGAATGAGTAAGCAGAAGCAGAACGGGGATATAGATGATTAATGATAAAGTTGCAGAGCATCATCAGGAAGAAGAATGGGGAAGAGAGAAAGATTAAAGTAGTAATGTCTTATTGCATTTTAAAACTTCCATTCCATTATTCAAATAAAAACCATTTTTTTGCAAACCAAACAAAAACCATCTCAGCATTCCATTGATTTTTTCTGCCATAGCAAACATACTTTTAAAATCTCGTTCCATTCTCTAGTCTGTTCTCTTTCCCATTACCTTTTCTGTTGCCATTCCATCAAAAAACATTCCAGCATAGCAAACAGACCCTTATTCTCTCTCTTTCTCGCTCCCCCTGTTCTCCCCATTTGGCTTACATTAATTTGGCATTAGAGCTTAGTCCCTCATGCTACTTGCACGTTTCCATCCCTGGAAATTCACCAAAAAACCTCACTGGAAACTTAGAATTCAAGTCTGTCATACCATATCCCATAGTTCCAGGTTCCAGCCATCAAATCAACCAACAGACAACACCAACAAGAATGGCCAGACCCAAAAGTTCTGTTATTGGCACCACCTGCACACAACACACGCCAAAAGAGCTCCCTATAGGTGGCTTTCACAAGCCACATGTGCCTACATGCTCCAACCCCAAGGCTTTCATTTATTTAGACTTTTCTTGCACTTTTCCGACTCTAGTCCATCAACAAGCAGCACCATTATTGCTAGGTTTTCTTGAATTCATTCCATTCATTAATTTTATTGTTGGGTTTTCTAAAGTTTATTTTGAATTAGGCTTTATATCGTCTCCTTTGATTTTAAATTAGTTTGAATTATCATTATTTTATTATTTCCATCTACAGCTCTAGAAATAGCCCTGGAATTTCTCATTTGTCATACCTTATAGTTTACAGTATTTGATTGAGATTATCTTGTACCTTGGTTTCTGCTGCTCTGTTATAGACTACATCTCATGTCAATAATGGGATATCATTTCTAATCTTTTTTATCCCAGAAATTCTCTTCTTAGGTTACCTACACACTGTTTACTCATGAACACATGTTCCCCAATCTTGTCAAGTTCGATAAGCACAAGTCTGTATATACTTCTAAAATCTAAACAGAAGTCAATTGCATATGTTGGTGAAGAAAATAAATGAATTTAGCAACTTATTACAACATTCAAATTTCAAAATCTAAGCAACTAAGTCTAACAACTAACAAGACCCAGATTATTTCCAGCTAACATGCCCATAGATGATATGCTGCCAGGATTGAAGTTCAAACCTTGAAACCCAACATGGATGTTTATAATCTATTCTGAAGTTAGCTTTAACACGAAGAGACAATCCATCATGACATCAAATGACATGTACAACAAACAGAATGACAATGTCGTACAAATGTCATGCTTGCCTGAGATACCAAAAAAAAATACAATAGCCCAATGTTATGTAGGCGTCCTAAATCCAACAAGGAAGAGAGCCATTGAGCAGAACAGCGAACAACTGCCATGCTTAGCTGACATTTTTGTTTCTGATCTCTCCATCCATGATAAAAACTCAAATTAGATTTCAACAACTCCAGTCCAAATAATTCCGATTGGCACAGTGATAGTTCCTTAATTTTACTATGATGCCATTCTTGTTGAACAACCAAAAAAAAAAAAAAAAGACAAATTGTAAGCCCATTGCATACGTATTGCAAGCTCAAATTCCATGAATCCGGAGAGTGAAATAAAATAATTCCCAGCTCCGCCAAAAATTTACTTACCCAGATGAAATTGGTGCCCGCATTGAAGCTTGGCCCACGATCTATCTCCATTATCGGCAACAGCCTCGAGGCATATTGAACAAGACACTGAACCAAAGGACTTGCCTCCAGCGCCAGCATCCCCGTCGCCGTCATCAACCACCGCATCATCATCGATTCCAAGACCCATCACAAAACGGAAGCTTCAAAACCCTAATTTTGCAAACGGAAATAACACGGTTTAATATTTGCCTTCCCTCCGTCTCGGTAGGGATGTAGACCGAAAACACGCAATATGCCAGGAAAACGAGAAAGTCGACAGCTGAAGCTGAGATCTAAATTGTTCCAGCCGAGGAGGAGGATGAAGATCGCTTTGGTGAGGAAATGCAATCTGATTGGAAACAGGAAAAATCTGCTCCGTCTTCCTCAATTGATCGCGTTATCTCGGCGTCTTCATTTGTTACCGTTGGATCATCTAGGTAAGAAGATAGTAAACGCTGTCGAACCTGAACTCATCTACGGCTGGCAATGATCTGGTCGGCTTTTTGTCAGTTATTGTTATTTTTCTTTTATATTTATAAATAATAATATTTTAATTTAATAGCATTTTTTACCTGGATCATTTGAAGGAAAATGACCGAAAAATACTACGAAATGAAAGTTAAATCTAACAAAAAGAGTTAGCCTTTCATAATATAATAAATTTAAATTTAAATTTTATTAATAAAAGTAATTTTATTTAGTTTTTATTATGTTTCAAGTAAAATTAACTTCAATAAAATAATTTATGTTTACAACAAAAAATATCTTGAAATATACAAAAAATAATTAGATATTTTAAGATGTAATGATTATTTTTTAGTTTCTGACAGGTCAGATATTTTTATGTGAAGTAACATATTTGTCCATGTTATAAAATTTATATATGAAGTTCGACAACTAAAATTAGTTATCATTTTTTTTTTAGAAATGACTTGTTTTTATGAAAAATGATTAGAACAAAACACAAATTGCAGGCTGCTCATTGCAAAAAAAAAAAAAAAGCTATCCAACAACTAAAAATTAATTAATACTTTCTTTTTAAAAAATATTAGTTTTATTGAGAAATAGTTAAAATGTGTTTGGGCTAAAATTAAAACGTCACTTATAGAAGGCTAGAATTTAAAGTAGGCTAAGTAATTGAAGAGTCAAGCACAATAAGTAAGCTAAACAAAAGGGCCAGTCCAAATCTCAAGAGAATAACTTAGTCAGATAAACATGGGTTCTTACATCCCCTAAGTCTCGGAGCCACTGTTTAGACTGTTGGTATATAAAATCATAACCTCAACGGGCCTCGAATCTCACAAAGATATGACCATTATTCATGAGTATGTTAGAGACATAGGCTGGCTATTAAATAACAGAACGCATTCCTAATAGACCGTGCGATGAATTTCACAGAATGTGCATAGCAAATCCTTGATATTTCACAAGTATGTTCCAAATTTCATGAGAGCAACCACCACAGCATAGTCATTATAAAAGGAAGATTACATCACAAGACAAGGAACAACAACGCTTATTTAAATACTGACATTTTTACAATTGTAGTTCTTAAATTCATTATATAGCTTTTACATGTAACTTCACTTTCATTTTTAGTCTTGTAATCTTTAGTATTTTGTAATCCTTTAGTATTAATCAAACACTTGTTATTTCAATTATTATGTATCTTTTACATTCAAATAAAATTTTGATAAAGGAGCCTGAGAATCCTTTATTATCAATTGAGACTCAATATCTCTGATACTTTTAATAATTTATTGTTCTCGATAAATAAAATGTGATAACAAATTACAAACTGTTGGTCAATCCTATAGCAATAAAAGTTGGATCCAGTAAAAAAAACTAATATTTTATAACACGATAAACAAAAGTTTGACTCCTGTAGAAGAGATGCTCACATTCAAAGTTTCATAGTGCTTCAAATAGAATTGTTTTTGATAAAAAAAAAAAAACTTATAAGTTACTCCCCCCAAAAAAGTTGGTCAACCTTGTGTCCAAGAATTCCTTCATTGTATTCTTAATTTTGGCAACTAGCACAAGCCTAATCTAGAACCTTTCAATTTTTTTTATCATTCTTTTCAATCCACTTTCCTAATTATAATTATACATCAAATATATGACCAAAACAAATTTACTTAATGCAGTGACATCAACAATAATAATTGAAAAGTGGGAAAAAATGATGCTAAGAAAATGGAGAGCAAGTTGATTTACGTTGCCATTTTTAAAAAGAATGTCTTAAAGCATATTCTGCCTGGAATCCCAAATCAAAAATTTCTTCAACTTATATTCTCCATTTGTTTTTTAATATAGGAGAATTTCAACCACCTTACACAATTCACAAAGATTAATTAATTAATTATAATCATTATATCTAAAATTAAAATCTTTGGATTGAAATGCTCTTGTAATTAATATTTATTTTTTCACCTAATTTAATGATGCTATCCATTTATGATGAATAATTTGAGAAAAAAATAATTAATATTTCTTGAAATTTATAATTTTATTTATAATAAAAACTAAAAAATACAGGGTAATTTCTCTTATATTTAAAAATGGACTAGCAATGGACGTTCTTTAGCATGACCAAGGGGACGAAATTAGCCAACCACAAATGCATCAGATTTTTTGACAATTTTTATTATAAAACATTGCAAAAATTTAAATGATTGAATATACTATCCTCAAATCCAAATTTCATTGTCCCCCATCGGGCCTGGGTCTCAAGGCACTGCATTGCGTTCCATTTCATATAAAAGAATATTTGAATATATTATCCTCAAATCTGAATATCACCCTTAAATAACAAATATAACTGCCTGTATTTCACCGACAGAAATAACTCAACATCTCTTTCCTGTATAGCTTGTTCGGAAAAATTTAAAAATATGATTTAGTATTAACATTAATTAATATTAATATTAATAAAGTGATAAGTGAAAACCACGGGGATATTCCATTATGAATTTGAGTAGCAATGGAATTCGGAGAAAAGCGAGGCCTATCAAAGTAAATACATTATATATCTGGGTTTTCACCGTCCACCTGCCAACTCACCTCTGTATAAAAGCTCACCGCCTCATCCCACCCGAAGCTCTCCGCGATATTAGCTCGCTTCTTCGTTTTCTAATACAGACTAGAAGAAGAAGAGCAGGGAGATTTGAAACTATGCTTGTTTATCAGGATATTCTTACTGGTAAATCTTTAATCTTCGATCGCCTTTTTTGCTTGATTCAGGACTTGTTTTTCTACTTTGGAATCTAGTTACTCTGAATTTAATGTTCGCGTAAATAATAAGCCGTTGCCTGAAGCAGTCTTCAACATGTGTTCGTCTTCACGTTTATATCTTGATTTCGTAAAAGTTCATGGAATCCCTTTTCTTTAGACATAATATAATCCACGTGACGTGATAACTATAAGGGATGGATGAAAGAACTTGGTTGGTGCCGTATGATTTTTTTCGACAGGTGGATATTATCGCCGGACGGATTAGGTAAATAATACTGATTCTATAATAGTCTCTAGATGTTTGCACTCATGTGATGAATTTTCAGGTGATGAGCTTCTCTCGGACTCATTCCCATACAAGGAGATTGAGAATGGAATGCTGTGGGAGGTGGAGGGAAAGGTTGGGAATTATTTAGCTTTATTTGCATAAGTTGGGTCCTCGGTTCCGCTGCCTGCTTTAACTTTCTTATGTCCGAGGATATTGGTTTACATGGCTCACCAAGTAAATGTTGTTTCTGGCAGTGGGTTGTTAAAGGGGCAATCAATGTGGATATAGGCGCTAATCCTTCAGCAGAAGGCGGTGAAGATGAAGGTGTAGATGATCAAGCTGTTAAAGTGGTCGATATTGTTGACACTTTCAGGCTTCAGGTAAGGAAGATTTCTTATCCTGTTTAGCCAGGCAGGAGTAGTCAGTGTCATGTGTGTTATTGGAAATTTGCCTTTTCAGGAGCAACCCGCGTTTGATAAGAAGCAATTTGTTAGTTACATGAAGAAATACATTAAGTCGCTGACGCCGAAATTAGATCCGGAGAAGCAAGAGTTGTTTAAGAAGCACATTGAGGGAGCAACCAAGTATCTCCTCTCGAAGCTCAGTGATCTCCAATTGGAAGTTTCACCGTCTCATGAGTCCACTACCTGATTTTACGGTGTCCTTTGGTGATTATATTTGATTAATTACACTGACTGATTAATCACAAATGTGGCAGTTTTGTGGGAGAGAGTATGCACGATGACAGCACCATCGTGTTTGCATACTACAAGGAAGGTGCCACCGATCCAACTTTTATCTACCTTGCCTATGGATTGAAGGAAATCAAGTGTTAGATGGTAACTTCCAGCAGTTATTGTATTTGAGCCGCGAACCTCTAGTTACATCTAGAGGTTAAGAGGGACTGAGAACCTATATTTATTGTCGTCAGTAGTTTTCCCCCTTTTTATTTGGACTGGATTATCTATAATCTATTGGAACATCTTTGGGCTTTCTCAAAATTCTTCTCCCCCCCCCCCCGGCGGGGGCAGTCCTAAATACCGAGGTTTTTAAGTTTTAACCATCTCATCAAATGGAGTTATTGATATTGACATATTGTTTAAAAAAATGATTTTTCAATTTACTTTTTATCAAATGTATAATTTTTAAAATATTTTCTGTCAAGTATGTAACTTCTCACTTATAGAAAATTGTGAAAAACAAGTCATTAGTAGTTTTTTTTGGGCCAGTAGTTTATTTATTTATTAGTAGTTTTATTCAAGGTGCCTTGTAAAACAAATCATTCATTTTAAAATTTTAGACTTACGCACGCATGAGCAGAATGAATATTAGTTGAGACTGAAGACTGATGATTAGATGACCTCGCTAATCTGGAAAGGCATCTAATAAATAAAAGCATGCCGTTGCTCAAGTTACAGGATCATGACCTAGCTGGGTTTTAGGCTTTTAGCCTCGTTTTATTTTGAATCGACTAACTATAGCCGAGGGCATTCTCCCTAAAGCAAAGAGTTTCGAAAATTATATCACGTGTCAATGCATGCCAACAGCTCGCCTTCTAGGAACTATAGTTAACTCGAACATCCCTCTTTCGGGATGATAATTTCGTGTAGGGAACAATGTCTTCTACGGTTCTACCCTATTCTCTAACAATTTGGTTCTGCAACTCATGCAGATTAGCTCTCACCCAAGGCGGAAACCCCGTACATATCAGATCAACTAAATCAGTACGCAAGTCCTGGCATTACAAGCGTATCATACTCTTATAACTCAAACGACAACAAATTGCGTCTCTCTTTAATGAAGATACAATGTTGGCAGTACATAATCACACGTCACTAGAAATATTGATCGTCAGTGTTATCTTAGGCTTGAGCGCTTGCAGCACATGTCCCGTTTTTTCCTCTCCTTTTTTTTTTTGGGGGGGGGGGGTGGTTGTCATTCTTATGCGTAATAATTCAAGCTAGCTTTCTTCTTTGCTTGGACTTGAATTATACCTTCATTAAAATCCTCGTGATTCACCTGCAATTAGACAGAAAACACTTAGATAACCATGAAGACCACAACCGAAAGTTTTTTGTCCCTTTATTGTGCTTCGTGGATTACAACCGACAGGTTTAACAACATATTCATCTGGTTGCAAGCTTTAAAATTGCGTACATCCAACAAACTACAAAGCAATTCGCTACAATTTTCTCGATAAATATTCTAGTTCACTCAAAGCTAAGGAGTTATGAAAAAGTAATGAAAAACATCAAAAGGCAATGTGTACCTAGTAGTCATGATCGCATGATTAATCAAGATTATCATTTTTATTGCCTACATTGTATCAAAGACAAAGAACAAACCTCTGTAGCATCTCGACGAAGAGCCAGCATGCCTGCCTCAACACAAACAGCTTTTAGTTGGGCTCCGTTAAAATCATCTGTTGATCGGGCTAATTCTTCAAAGTTGACATCTGGATGAACATTCATCTTACGAGAGTGGATCTAAAGAATATCACTTAGAAGCCAATCAGCACATGTTTCACAAGATAAAAGTTTGCATATAAAGTTGCCAGAAATCGAACCTGCAAAATCCGAGCCCTTGCTTCTTCAGTTGGATGAGGGAACTCAATTTTACGATCTAATCGACCAGAACGCATCAGAGCAGGGTCCAGGATATCTGCGCGATTTGTTGCTGCTATCACCTACAATTTACAAGATAAATGAAAATGGCTATTCAGGCTTGGAAATCAAAACTGAAAACTAAAATGGGCTTAAGCGGCCAACTTCTAGTAGATTCTACAATTCAGAACTCTAACAACACACAAGTATATAAAAATATTAAGGGGCTTAATCCAACAGCAGCAAATATCATTAGAGTTCTTTTAATTGCCTCAATCAGATACAGAGGAAGGCAGGACAAGAGGAAACAAAGACAAACCTTAATACGGTCATCACTACTAAAACCGTCAAGCTGATTGAGTAATTCTAACATTGTTCGCTGTACCTCCCTATCTCCACTTACTTCACTGCAGTAAGGCACAAAATATTATGTCATAAAATTGCCAAGCTGCTGTAAAGAATTCAATGGCAAATCTCTCAGCCCATAAAAAATAACAGGAAAATCTACACAAGAGTAAATCTAAAATCCTGCTGTTCGTCCAAAAAATAAAGATGTAAATTCCTGACTCTTTATACCTATCAAAACGCTTTGTACCAATGGCATCAATTTCATCTATAAATATAATGCATGGAGACTTCTCTTTTGCCAGTTGAAAGGCATCACGGACAAGTTTTGCCCCATCTCCTATAAACATCTGGGGAAAAAAATTCCAGATTAGATAACCCATTTTGAACTGCAAACCCATCATAGAGACATAATTACTAACACTAAAGGAACTTATGCACATACAAGCTCCATGCACTGTACTTTTTGATAGAGAAATGCGGATTTCTATCAAGTATGGATTGGAGAAATAGGAAACAAATCCAAACATTGACATCAGAAATATGTAAAGGCCATATAAGAAGCCATCTTGATACAATCTCTAAGAGACAAATGTCAACTCAAATTACAATCATCAAAAAGGAAACGGAGATTGGCATGATACTTTCTTGCTCAGGTGTATTGAAATCAAGAGGATTCGAATTACTAACTTGTCCAAACTTACAACTGGAACCAACAAGTAATAATGGAAATACATAATATCAGCCCAACCAACAAATTTAAACTGGGAAAAAAAAAGTCAGGAATTGTCATGCCTGGACCAGCTGAGGGCCTGCCAGCTTCAGAAAAGTGGCATTTGTTTGTGCTGCGCAGGCACGGGCCATTAATGTTTTCCCTGTCCCAGGAGGACCATACAAGAGCACTCCCTTTGGTGGACGAATTCCTAACTTTTGGAAACGCTCTTTGTGGGTCATTGGCAAAACAATGGCTTCCACTAACTCTTGGATCTGTCAAATACAACAAAGAACTTCTATTACTTTACCATAACTAAAAAAATTGTCTGTTTCACAAACCATTCCAATAATTAATCTCACCTGCTTCTCTAACCCACCAATATCATTGTAGTCCTCAGTAGGCTTCTCATCAACTTCCATAGCCTTTACTCGAGAATCATACTCAGAAGGCAAGGTATCCAAGATTAAATAGCTGTCCTTGTTAACACCAACCAGATCACCAGGTTTTAGCTTATCAGGGTCAACAAGCCCAACAACAGGTAGAAAAATTGTCTGCAGCCAAAAGAAATATCGATCAGTTCCAGGTTGCTCTGACAAGCATTAAGGGCTCTTTTTCCATAACTGATCCTAAATACTCTGTCCAATCCTCTAAGTCACTTCTAACTAACTCACAAAAACCAAGGTGAGTTAGTTAGAATAAAATGATTGTCTTAAAAATAATTCATTTTCCAATTTTTCCCCTAAATTTAAAAAAGAGTGATTTGATATGTGGGAAAATTTTTATCGGGATTTGGAATATTGCACTTATTTTTAGAATTTGCTAGAGGGTATCTTCAAAATTGTGCATCAAAAGTTACGAAAAACAAGGAAAAGTAACTTATACAAAAGACTGAGAAAACCCTCAAGAATGTGACTAATAAATAGGTCCAGAGGGAGTGCGCCAAGGTAAAAAAAAAAAACTCTATGAAAATGAAGCAATAAAGATATCATATAAGACCCTGAAGTTGAAATATATATACAGACACACATAATCCTTCCTCAACAAAAAATATGAAATAATCAGCAGAGTCACCTGTCGAGTAGATGTCTTTAGCACAACACATTTTCCCTTCCTTTGTGAATCAAGATCGATATTGGCACCATCTTCTTCAGCTTCATCTTCTGGGTTCATTTCCAATATCTAAAGCAGAAACACATCACGTTAGAATTTAAAAGGACAGTGCCATATTACAAGAAACCTAATTGAATCTCCACCAAGAAACTGCTCCTGTCATCAGCAAATTATGTTGAGTTTGGAAGTAAGGCATTCATTATCCTTCTACATATTAGTGCATAGAGCAGCCAAGCAGCTCAAGCTTGGACTAAAAACGATAAACATTACAATAGATATCATTATGAACCTCGTTCTTGAATAGTTGAAGTCCTGATTTACATAAGAAATGGTAGGGAACAAGTAAATATATAAGACATGCTGGGAAACTTTAAAAAATCACTTTAAGAATACTTTAGGAAGAAATGAATCATATTGTAAGGCAATGTGCTCTTGTCTCTATCCTATTAAAGAAGATATGCCTTGTGCAAAATCTTATGAGGATTTTTGGATATTTATTTTGCATTCAAAATCTCTTGATCCTCAAGTGAAGATGCATTTTCCATCACTCAAACGTAGGAGGCTAAAGTATTGATTTTTTATGATTCTCTAGTCTAGTGTCTACCATTCACAGCTCTATCAATTTTAATTTCTTAGAAACAGCCGTTGAAAATGTATGACCCTGACTGATCTGTATTCATATTCAACAAAACTAAGACAGAAGCGCGGTTTAAAAATTTTTAAGAAGCAAAAGCAAACAAAAAAAACCTGTAAATTACCTCCACAATGTTGCCTACTAGGTAAGGCAGTTGCTTATTGAGCTTAATCTTCTCCTGATTCTCTTTTATCTTCTCCTTGTAAGATTCCCATTCTAGATTAGTTCTTTGTAACTCTTCCTTCAACGCCATAAAACAAACCAAATTTCATTACAAATGGTAAAAACCAAAAGTGACAGCAAAGAAATCCTCTCCTCTCAGAAAATACAAACTCTAAGAAAATAGACAAATACTCAAAATAAAAACATCTGCGAAAGGAACAGATTTTATTCCACTAAAAACCGGGAGACGAGATCAACACAATCAACCCTAAGCAAACCCTAATTGACTAGATCGAAGCAGCAAAACTAGCTAGATAAAGTTCAATGCACAAGCCAAAACTACAGTAAAAAATAATAGACTCAGAAATGGAGGTCAAGCCTTGAGGACACGAATCTCGTTGTCGAGAAGACGAGAGGCTCTGAAGATGTCGT